TTGCAGTCGAACTGAAGGCTTATTCACGAACCGATTACTGTCATTTTAAGCAGTCTAGTATTTGTTTCAGCAAACTATGGAAATTCTTTTCCACTTCAGCACTACTACCATGATATTGCAGACTACTGTTTCTGAAATATTCCATTCACTGTTTTTGTTCCGTCCAAAACGTCCAAAACATATGAAATTTCGTGCTTCATTGTACACTCTGCCATTTGTGACGAACTTTAAATAATTCGGACGGTGCTTTGTAAATATGCGTAAGTACTTGGAAAGCAGACTGGTTGAACATGTTGCTTTTCAAATGTTACTGCTATCGGTTATACGCGAACATCTTCAATGCGCCAACTGTTCCATATTATGTTTAACTTTCTAGCACACCAGAATAGAATATTTGTGTAGTGTTGTTCTGCGTCATATTTCCGATGTATATGTAATACAATGCTGTTTTGTTTGTTTCACAGGATCACTATGTTGACTCATTTGAATAAGAAGAAAGTCTTTGGTTTTCTATGTCAACCGCAACCACAGTTTTTAACACTGTTGCTGTAAGACAGCTGTTACTGCACTGTACAAGGAAGTAATTTTCACATCTACTGAGGTCATCTGGACTCAGAAGAAAATCGAGTCAGTCCTTATGTGGTCCTCTATTTAATTCTGTATACATCGCAGACGCTGCTGAGTGCAGTTCAAACTTCGTTGTTGCCTTTCCGTCAGAACGAATGTTGTCATCCCGCGAAACAACACTAACCTTTCAGAGGCAATCTACAGACAGATTTACGAAAAGTACATCCTTTCTCATTTCAAATATTAAACTGGTTTTGAAATGCACTCTGAGCTGTGGCGATCATCCAGTGTAATTTCAGACAGATACTACCATCGCAAATGATGATGAAACCGACATGGTTAAACGGGTCAACCTCATAAATGGCTGTAGCACCTTGTTCCATCTGTAGATCAACCGTACCACATGGGTTCCGCACAACTTTAGTCTTAGGGTGGTTACAAAAGAGGCCGGGATTCGCAACTATGTTCTATGCAAAAGCTGTCAGGCAAGAAAGTCCACTTCCCGCACTATTCAGCAAGACAGTATTGTCGGCGTAAGTCCGCAAAATATTTAGCCAGATATTTTGAAATGAACCCCTTTCTAGCATGAGTTCTTTGAGTTTCTAGTCTTTCATACGCGAAAGTCCAGATCAGTTTCGAATTGCAGAAACGAATACACATTTCCCTGGAGAACTTTACACTTATTAGGGTACCTTTCAGGTAGCTCTCCGCCTATTTTGACAGCAGACATAGTTTCTGTATACATCTCTTCAAAGAGAGACGATGTTCTCAGGTATTCCACCACATTTCAAGACTTTCCACGTTGTCAGATGAGTTAGTGAATCAACTGTACGAAGAAGAAACTGGCTAACTGGGGCACCTGGAATCGTCGGCATTTGCTCAATGATTCAAAGCAGGAATCCTTTGGTCAGGGCAATAGCACTCGAACCAGAAGCTTGGTTGATTTGGGAGAAGTATTCTATCAAATGTTTGCCTCAGCTATTCCAGAATAGTGAAACGTTTCCCAGAAGTTGATGTTAGTGCGATATCACAATAATTTAAACACCCGCTCACCCAAGGAATATAAGGGAAATTATTCCACACTTCCATTGTCTTGGGAAACGTCTGTAAGTTCACATTCGATGAAACAGTATACGTGACTTTCCTGTCATTCCTATTCCTCCCCATTGAATGAGCTAAGGAAAAGTTGGATCCACTCGCAGGCGTTCTTCACCTTGAAGAGTTATATAGCAAGGGCTTTTCGATTTCCAGTTTTCGGGGTGGATCTCTATTAGCTTCTAGTGTTGGCAGAAAATTAGCGGTCAGAAATGACGAAGTGCAAGGCAGCCGTTGAGCAGCTGTTGGAAATGCTCAGCCCAACTTTAGAGGCTTTCCTTCTAACCTGTAGGCGGAATACCTTTAGCTTCTTGGATAGGAACGAGCCTTGTGTACTGTTAAAAGGTCACATTATTGAATAGTGTTTATCTTTCCAGCTAAAATTCACTCTCTCACCTGTAACTCTGGTTGACTGCAGAAATGAGATGGTGATGAAACTCCTTCGAGGGTGTAGCAGCGGACTGAAAGAATGATACCTTTTTCTAATTCCTTTTCAATCTAACGGCTGAAGAATTGTTTGTAACTATGACAGTTTGGTTATTCTCTTTGTGATCATAGTGCATTTTCCATCGAGAAAATTGTCTCTCTCTTTGTAAACTTCATCAACGTTACCACTACCTGACTGGGTATTAAGAGTGGCATTAAAATACCTCTACACCTCCTATTAGCAGGCAGGCCGCGCCACTTAGTCATCTTTCAACCCGCGAACGTCGAACGTACGATGCATTTCAATCAGACCAAGATCCACAATGACCATATGGTGAGTCATTATATCAGTCCCAATGCAGGCGCCACGCCTGATGTGAATCTAAAGTATCGAGCTGAATCATTTGCGACTGATGAGGACGTTACTTAGGCTTCCATCGGGTCCCTCCAGGTAGTTTAATGAATGCGCTAATGAGGACAAATGGTGCTCCCGCAACGGTTAAGCTGCCTGAGATGGAAAAGCCCGCGGATGTCATGACGGAGGAGTACGCATGGCCTTGAGTTGTTCTCAGCACCCACCTTCGTGTTCAGGTCGCCTGTGACAACTGTGATGTCGTAATGCGACAAAGCGCTAAGAACTGATCGCAGGCAGTCACAGAAAATGCTGTCACTCACCACATTTGTTGGTGGAGGCGCCATAATGTCATTAAGCATCGGCTGTTTGGCATTCACGCGACAAACCAGGATTCTCTCAACACCTGTTTCACAGGAGTGACCGTACGGCTTATCCTGAGGGCTAACAGGATACCCCCAGCGGCACGGCGTAATCTGCTGGTGCCTGGCCGCAAAGATGACCACCTTGCATGCTGGTCAAGCATTTCATTTCGCGGGCGAGGAGCGTCCGGGACCGTCTTCACATCGAGTTCGTACGGACGGGTCGAGCCTTAAGGCTCACATCGTCTAATATATTCTCGCCAGACATGGAACGAACATTCCAACGTGCAACATGGAATTTACCACCTGTCGTGTTAAATACTGGAATCACGTATATTCTGGTTCCAAGGTGACTGGTGGGCTGCAAGCGAGAACCGCTATCAGAGCAATTCATTTCCGGAATTGCAATAAATTCGTCGCCGCTCGCTAAGAAATCAAGGTGATAACCTGAGCCTTACGCACAGCAATGTCCCAATGGGTGGGCCACAATAAACCGAATGTCCGAATGGTGCATGGCTGCTCTTAGAGCGGATTCGGGATTTTAGGCCAGGGATCAGAACGAAAAGTATTTCGAAGAAAGGATAGGGATTAGAAGATGGAATATTAGAACGTAAATGAATGACTCAAAGTACCTAAGCTAGCAAAAGGTGATCTACTCATACACATTCAATCACTCTATCCGTCATTCTGCAGTTTCCAAGGTATCACTTGAATCAAAGATTTTCTGTCTCCTCCAGTGCTCACGAGGATGAATATATTTGTGTGAACTTCCCTCACTAATATCTCGAGAAGCATTTTGAAAGAATCTGATGTGAAAGACGGAGTGTATTAGTTATTCCAACGGGAAACATCGATCTGGTGCAATGGTCTGATTTCCTGTTATATTCCAACTTTCGGCAATCTAGTGATCTACAGCATCTGCGAATATCTGGTACCAGGAAGCGTTGCTGTGAATGCTAGCGACGGTTAAATAAATCGAAAGCAAACGTTTTTAGCTTTCTGTGTCACTGGCGGCCGTAAGAGATATATTTTCACTAAATAGACCGTACCAGATCAGGAAGCAGGCAGCAAATAAGCTGGACACCGTGAAAGGTCGTCAGGCGTAGCGTTAGCAGTTGGCGAAGTAAATCTGTAAAACCTTTGGGAGGTAATCTAAGTTTTGACACTGGACATCCTCATTAAATCAGACGAAACTTGAACTCAAATCTTGAACACTGCGATCCACTGATCGGTGGTATGGCATTCTTCCGGCTACTAGAGACTGCACTCTTCCAAATAATGTAAACCAGCGTCATTACGGAATGAAGAGAATATTGTTGTAATTAAAGGCACATGCATTCGCCATGGAATTCGTACCACAGAGTGATTTTACAGCGGCAACTCCGTTCTGGGCAGATCTATGTCCCTACAGTCAATGTATGGAGGAGACATCGAAAAGCGGAATTTCAATTTCGTACATACAGCTTCACATCCAGCTCTGGATTCAAGCGGTTTCGATCGGATCCACGTGGATATGCCAGCTGCGCAGATTTCATCATCCGGGGTGTTTTTGGAAATTTCTGCTTCTTGGCTTTCGCCTGCAGCTTTTTCAAATTTATGACGAATCGATCGTTGTTGTGGGAAAGGATTCACTTCGCATGGAGAAAAACCGGCTATTATGATATCAGATTATGGGAAGATTGTTAGAAGCCATAAAACAGATATTTTACAGGTGAAGTTGTCAGAACCCACAGCAGTATGCAAATTAATTCACCCAGAATAATGCACAGGGAGTTCACATGTTGAATATTTTTTCAGGCTTACGATAATCGTCTTTTCCTTTATCTGGCAGGAAGGGAATTTATAATATTTACAACACAAGAGAGTGACACACAACAGTCACTGAAGGCGTTCTATAAGCTTTCCAAACGACGGTGAAATGGTCATGGCAAAAGAGAACGGCGACGGCACAGACAACAACGCAAGAAATCCATCCCGCAACATTATATTTACTCGAGCCGAGACGATGGCTTCGATTAGCGTAATTCCAGTAAAAACGCGATGACAAATAAAAAAACTCAGCTACTTTTCAAAGTCGTTACTCCTATGTTGAGGACACAATCAGAAGCTGGCGTTGAGGCGATCTGAAACGACGAGAAGACGAGGACTGAAACCGCGCTGAAAGCGCCAATCATTGGCACGTGTGCAATTTTCCGAGATTAGGTCCTTTTGGATCCAATGGCACCGGTAATGAAGGCAAAAGTTTCCTTCTGATACGAACCAGTTTTGGCCCGAAACGTGCAGAACGAGAGATGACGAGGAGGGAGCTGCAACGTGGTCGATCGAAAACAAGGCGCAGGAGCGCCGAAGGCCGAGCAAATCATCGGCAGCCGTCGGCGGCCATTAATTGGCACTCGCAATCCCGCTGAAGAACAGCTGCTTACTCGACTTCCGCACATCCCCGTCGTCCAAGCATTCCAAACGCTCGGTGACTGAAGAGGAACAAGCGCAGAACAACGGCTGGCCGTCGGCAACAGCTGGGGAGGATCCATGACTGACAGACGTGTGCCAGATTCAGAAAAGCCGCAGCGGGGGAAAGACAAAGCCCGCGGTTTGCCAGCCAGCAATGCACTAACGTCGTTTCAAAGTTAAGGCTTCCGAAAGCCGACATAGGAGTCGGCCGGAAACTAATTTGATTAACCGATTTAGTTCTCGTAAATACGGGCATTGCATATATCGACGCTCGGACTGTGGATTTCTCCTCAGCCATAAACAAAGCGAATTATTCGGAACTATTATACATCGATTCATTATTTATGAAAATTTTACAGATCTGGAAGATAAATATTTATTATTTATTATTGAAGTACCTCATAATCTTCATGTTTCTTAGGTTATTGCCTTGCGCATACACTCTATGATACAAAACTCTGATGTTTCAAGCCATACTTAGCGCGATGTATGGCTAGTAATACAAGTGGTTTTAAGTCTGTTAGTGATGGAAGGCAAAAATTTAATAAATGCTAGCAAAAATAGCACTTTCCAATGGGCTCTCCTGTGAGTGTCGTTTTAGTTATCTCTCACTCCGCATCATATTGAAAAAAAGGGACCTTAAAGAATGCCCAGCAGAATTCCAGGTGTTGTTCTAAGTCAGGCTTGTGGATTATAGCTTCATTCCGTTCCAAAGAACGAACGATATGCTGTAACAGCTGAAAAGCTTCGATTGTAAAAATGACAGGAGGTCAACGGTCGAATACATTTTCCACCATATATGTATATCCCAGGTATTGGAAAAAATCAGAACATAAGTCAATAACGTTGAGTTTCGGGGTCTACTAAGCGACCAGACAGGAACTTGAGGGTGCCTTTATTCAACCCATAGGGGTTGAATGTCGAGGGTGATGACTGCAATAAGATACGCACTGGGAAGTCCTTCCGCAAACAGAGTATTCAGACTAAAGTATTCTTGTACTTCGTGCACAACACACCCTTATTGAGGGACACGGGGACACTGCTTCGATAAGAGCCGTGTAACTGTAATCGAAAAAGTTACAAACCTGGTCTATTCATATAGGAGTGCCTAGATATTTTGCCAATGAAACATCGCATGTGTTTCGAATACTCCTCATTCGTAACGATAACTGCAAGCT